ATGCCCACACATGGTTATTGCAGCATTATTCATAACAGCAAAGAGATGGAACAGAACTGTCAAGTGCCCATCAACAATTAAATGGATACAGAAACTATCGTACGTTCACACCATGGAATATTATGCAGCACTGAAAAATAACGAGCTTGTCAAACACTTTACAACATGGATGAGTCTGGGAGACATTGTGCTGAGTGAAGTTATCTCAGTCACAAAGGGACAAATACTGCATAAACCCACTGTTGTAATAACAGGATTGAGACAGGATGGGCTGGGGAGAAGAGTGGGGGAAAAATGGCTAGATAATGAACACCACACTGGAATAGTTGAAATGAAGGACAATCTGAAAGGAATAGATGATTAGAAATTATGTGTATGACACGTACTCGCCCACAACAGGACAAGTATTACTAAGGCAATTGGAGGAGGGGGAGGGAGGAAAATGCATGCATTAATGAATGAAAACCAATCTCTTTGTAAAACTTCACTAACATTCAGACAAATTTAAAAAGTAAAAAATGAAGATGAGGAGTCTTCTCCTGGAACATCACTGGGAGGCAGTACTGATGCAGGGATAGTGTTTTGGGAGAGGTCTGGCCTTTGTCCGTTTCTGGGAAACAAACCCTTGTCATTTCTGGAGTGTCCTTGGATCACACTGAGAGGACCCCCATGGACCCTCCCAGCACCAGTTGCGCTTAAGTGGATTCCAACTCAGGGTGGCCCCACGTATGCCAGGGCACATGTTGTCCAAGGTGTGGCCAAGGCTGGGAACTGTTGGCAGTGGATTGCCAGCCCTTTCTCCTTAGGCAACTATTGTTGGTTGTTTTTTTTTTAAATAGATCAAAGGACATTTTATTTTTTTTTAATTATAATGAAAGTTTACAGAAACTTTGGATTTCCATTCATTCTGTTGCACTTTTTTCCCTGCTCACCTCTCCCCTCCCCCAATTTGTTCTTGTCCTTGAAAAGTAAAATTCCTTGTTATACAATCCCTCCCCCAAGTCCACTCCACTATGCAGCCTTCATTATGGACTCCTGTCATACTAATACCTAATCATAGCTCCCTTATAAACAGTTCTCTCCCTCATTTGTTTTAATGCAGTATACATCATTTATCCCTTCTTTCACAGTCTCCCCCAACCCCGATGTAAGTCCCGTTTTACAACAGTGGCATTATGCAATATTTGTCCTTTTGTGGCTGAGATATTTCACTCAGCATAATGTCCTCCAGGGTCACCCATTTTGTATTTCATGAGTTCCTTGTTTTTCAATGCAGCATAGTATTCCATTGTGTGAATATACCAGAGCTTCTCTATCCATTCGTTTGTTGATGGGCACTTAGGTTGTTTCCAACTCTTCAATATTGTGAACAAAGCCACAATAAACATGGGTGTGCATATATCTGCTTGGGTGGTGGTTATGGTTTTTTAGGGTAAATTTTCAGTAGTGGAATTGCTGGTTCAAATGGTATTACCACCTTCCACAGTGGTTGCACTATTTTATTCTCCTACCAACAGCGAGTAAGGGTTCCAGTTTCTCCACAACCTCGCCAGCATTTGATGTTTGCAAACTCTTGTTATATGTCATCGAGTTGGAACCAGCTCACAGCTGACCCTCCAGTGGATTTTCAGAGACCTTTCAGAAGTCACATAGAAGAGAACTGCCCATCTCTCTCTGGGAGAGCAGCTGGTGGATTGGGGACTTTTACGTTTGGATTGACAGCACAACCTCTTACTACTACGCCACCAGAACTCCAGATGGTAACTCTAGATGGGTTCATACCACCAGCCTTTCAGTACATAGGCAAGTGCTTGACCATTTGTGCTATCCAGGAACTCCTCCTTGGACCCTACCTTAGGGTTTATTAAGGAGAGGGCTCAGAGGGGACTGGCCGCACTGACAGGCCCAGCAAAAAGACTAACAAAGTACTTAAGAGGACAGGGCCTTTGAGCCACCTGCTACCAGTGAGGCTTCCAGGGACGGAAGAGGACAAAGGATCGAGTTCTACCATAAGGCCCATTCATGCGATCATGCATGCGTAGTGAAACCCGATAAAAGCACATCACCAAAGTTCAGGTAAGCAGCTTGCATTGGTGACATGGTCTACTTTGTCACACATCAGCAGGCCAGGAGGGTGGCATGACCTGGCTCTCTTGGAGGATAGAGGATAAAAACCGGCATGTCTACCAACTCTCTCAGGCCTGACCCCCTTTGGCACGCTCTGAGTTGTATTTTCTGATTGCAGTGAAACTGATTATGAGTGCTTTTTGAGAGTTTGGAGGTGTTCTAGCAATTTAATGAGCTCAAGAAAATAGTGGGAACTTGAGCTGGTCAGAAGTGAGGGTGACGTGCAGTTGCTTGAAGAGCCTGTCCCATCTGACCTAATTCTAGGACGTCAGTGTTTGATGTCACTGCAGGACTGTTTGCACTTTATGGAGAATGAGTATTTGGGTACAGGCCTTTGTGTGAACCTATGTTTACATGTTTTGTGGGCATATAGCTACCAGTTGAATTGCTTGGTCCCTAGTGGTAAAAAGCTACGCTCCAGTCCCCAAGGCACACATGTTCTGTGGGAGAAAGATGGGCAGTCCCCTCAGGTCTGATTAACTGTCTCCTCCAAAAACCCACAGGAGGGTCAGCTATGGGTAGGTTCTGTCACGACAGCAAACAATGGTAAATCTTAATTTATAAACATTTTAAGACCATGACAACGTACTTTTACATTCCTACTACCAAAGGATGACAGAAAAAAGGAACCGATGCCTTTGAGCTGTGGTGTTGAAGAGCACCGAACATCCCATGGGCAGCCAAGAGACGTCTGGAAGAGGGTGCAGCCGGAGTGCTCTTTGGAGGCGGGATGATGAGGCTTCGCCTCACGTACTCCGGGCATGTTGTCAGGAGGGGCTATTCCTTGGAGAGGGACATGATGCTGGGAAGGGTAGAGGGTTGGAGAAGGAGAGGAAGACCCTCAACTAGGTGGACTGACGTGGTGACTGCTGCAATGGGCTCTGTGTGTCAGGAAGTGTGAGGATGGCGCAGGACAGGACAGGGTTCAGATCTTTAGTTTACAGGGTCGCTATGAGTCGTACTTGACTCAATGGCACCAAACAACAACTATCAATGTGAAGACCTCAACGAGACGGATTCCAGTTCTTTTCCTATTTTTGCTTCCCTCGGATATACTAATGTTGGTTGTTTTTAACGTCCATGAGCAATAGAAGTCCTGTAGGTGAATTCTTCATGAGTCTCTGTTTCTTGGTCCTTTTTCTTCACGTCCTTGGTAATTTCTAATGAAATGGTCGAGACTGTGTATGAAGAACGACCGCAGCTGTGTATGGAATGATCCTCCTCTAGAGCGGTATTGGCCTTTCTCCCCGGCAGACAGCAATCAGGATCCGCTCAGGCAAGCACTGAGCTTGGGCAATGCTGAGTGTAAAGGCTGCTACCTCTAGAGCATTCTCACGTGTAGGCTGCAGCCTTCCAGGGGGTCCGATTGAGCGCCTGGGTGTTTGGTGAGCCCACCTTCCTGGGCCTACAGTCACTTGTTTTGTCCCTAGTATGAGCCTACTAAGCCATTCAATTGCTGTTTGTGTCTCACATGTACGATTGAAGACAAGGAGGTACTTCAGCTGCGTCTCAGCACTCCTTTCCCGACTTCTGGCCAAGTCACCTCAGAAGCTCCCCAGGGAAAGCTAACTGGTCATAGCTAAAAACGGAAGTGCAGAATAAGTCATTCTGAACTCAAATCTGGTTGCCTGTACTTTTAGTTTCTTATCTTGAAAAGACAGGGGAAGAGAAAACACTGAACACATCACTTTTACTGGAAAGAACTTCAGGACACAGAGTTGAGAGTTGTCCTGAAAAACGGAGGTATCACTGTAACGGTATGTTTCCACCCCAAATAAACTGGCATTCTGCTTTATGAACCAGATGGTCCCAGTGGATTTGAACACTGGTTTATTTATACTTTAAGGTTGCTTATACTTGGGCATTTTTTAAATAACGTTATCAGCTTCACTTTGGCAGAAGTGAGTGATCAGTATTTCCAAGTGTAACCTAAAGAAAACCTCTGTCGCTATCAGCAACAAAAACAATGCTGCATCTTGTCCCTCCGCTTCCCATGCTGCCCAGGCATCTGTGGCCCTCTTGGTATTAAGAATCTGGCTTAACTTTGTCCACATTTAAAAACAATACAAAGCTCTTACACACGCTGAGGCTGGGGTTTGTCTTCAGAAATCACACTATTCTCACTGACTGTGAAGAGTTAATCTGGACGTGGGACTTTCCTGCATGGGGTCAAGGGCAAAGCCTTTATTTACTCCCCCTGGAACAGGCAACCACCTCAGTCCCAGGCATACAACACACGCTCGGTGTTTACTGAGCGGATTCATGAAGAATTTGCCACTTCTCTTTTTATTTAAAAAAATTTTTTTTATTATTATTTTGTGTGTGGGTACCATCAAATCAGATCTGACTGGTATAGGAGGAGACTGCCCCTCCTTCTCCAGCAGAGCATCTGGTGGATTCAAACCACATACCTCTGGGATCGCATTGCAGCTTATTGCCACTAGGCCACCAGAGCTCCCTGCCACTTCTCTTTTGAGGTAACACTCAATAAATGTCATGCTAGGAAAGGAAGGTCACTTTTCTTTTAATTATCAAACTCCTAAAAGTTTACAAATTTTCTCCTTTTCAAATTCTATAAACTGCTATCTAGATTACCTGCGGCAGATGGCAGAAGGAAATCAGGGTGTAAAAGCCTTTTTATTATCCCTATCCAAAAGAACAGGAGCCCTACACACCATATGTTTTAAAGGCAAACATGCAGATCACCTGATCTGTTCGGCTGCCACTGTCCTTGCTGAGAGCGTACGCCTGGCTGGTAGGAAAATGAACTGTTTCTCACTCACTGCTCGGCTCTGGCTAAACATGGATGAGGTTCAGGCCAGCTTTCAAAACCTCCGAGTTAGGGTACCAAACGGGGAAGTGTGTCATCTTCCTTAAGACTCCATCGGTGTGTCCGAGTCCCTGCTCCCCATGGGGCCGCTGACCGACGAGCTCCTCCCACTGCCCAGAACAAGCCGCTCTCGCCTTCCAAACGCTTCGCTGACTGAAATGCAAGCAATTGAGAAAGGAACAGTCAGAAAGCCAGCAATCTACAGAACACACAGGCCTCCAGATACACACAGGCAATCAGATTCTCTACCGTAGGTTGGAAATTTTGTTCAGGAAAATATACTGAAGCAACACTTAACAAACAGGAAGGTAAGTAACTAATCCAGAAGTCTAAGTGAATGCTGTGGAAGAAGTTAACCCTGTCTGAAGAGAGTCTTTTTTTGGGGAGTACTTGCCTTTCTTTGCCCTGTCCTGCACTCAGTTAATTGTCTTTGCTCACAGATGTCCACTCCCACAGACCAGTGACTCCATCCTCTCTCACTCTCCCGCCATCTCCTGTTTTCTCTCACCCTTCTCCGTATCGTTTCTACCAGGGAACTTTGTGGACTAGAGCCTTTCAGTTGTGCACAAATTAGATGAACCCAAGAAAGAGGAGGATTCTGGGACTGGAGAATAGGAGTACAGCCTATGGGGTTGGAGGACACACCAGACTGCCTCAAAGGGAAAAATAGCAGGTAGGCTTGCACCCAAGGAGGGGAGCCCTTCCGGAAAGGAGGATTGGGGAGAAACCCGTTGAGAAAGTGGGAAGGAGGGGTTGTTCTTTGAGACTGTGCTGTATTTCCTTCTAACTTTCCCATAGAAGTTCTCCATTTTAAAGTTCAAACTTTATTATAAATAGTAAAGTGAAACATGAACTATATTTAAAAGTGTGAAAGCAATTTAGTTATGATCATGAACATTTCCAAATGACGTCAGATGCTACTGCGCAAGCAGGCTACGCCACAGGACAACACGGACCTTCCTCTGCACCGAGGGCAGTCAGGCCTCGGGGGGGCAGCCCTGGGCACCCACTGGGAGAGGGGGAGAAAGGAGAACAGTGGATGCTTACCTGAGGAGACAGTGCTGATATCCCAGACCCGGAGCCCTTCTTTCTGACCTCCAAAGGCGTAAACAAATGGCAAGTCAGGGCAACATGAAGAACAAAAGAGGACACCCTGAGGAGAAAAGAGGACACAGTCGGTGACTCTTGATTTTTCCAGAAAACACCAACACCTGGATCTTTAGATTCTGTTGGATATTAATCCCTTTGGTTTCAGTGTTTACCACAAGCCAGCTCAACAGTACCTCTTCCAACCTACTGGTGGCCCAGTGGTAAGGAGTTGCACCACCAAGGCCACAACCGCACGACGTGGTCTGAATCCACCAAGCTCCTCCGGGGAGGAGGATGGGCAAACTCCACTGGGGCGATCTATGGGCTCCGGAGGGTTGGCTGTGACCTGGACTCGACCGTAAACAACAACAGTGGAGCCGGCTCACGAGGGCAAACAGCACAAGACCAAGCAGAGCAAGTTCAGCCCTCCGGCCTCTCAGTCAGAACATCTGATCTTCATCATAAATTGCTGAGATTTCTTAGTAACTGGATCTGGAAATTTAGTTCTTCTCTTGGACAGAAGGGGTCATAGGAGGTCAAGAGGTCTTTAGTTTTTGTTTATTTAAGAAAACTACTTTTATTCCTATGAACAGGTATGTGACAGCCGAGTGTTGCTGAGTTGTCTGTGACTCAACATCCCTACATGGTCTTCCAGGCCAGAATCTCCGAGGAAGCCGCTGCCACGCTTTCCTCTCACCCAGCTGCCAGGCTGGTCAAATTGCCAGCTCTTTGCTTAATAGTTGAGTGTGTAAAACCACTGCTCCACCAGGGTTCCTGAGACAGTAACATTATAGGAAGTAAGAACAAGAAACCAATATAAAAATTACTCAAGGATAACTAACCACCGTTGGTGTTTCAGGATAAAATCTAGATTTTCATATTTAAGGACTAAGCAAGGGTTCGCTCTAGAAAATGCTTTTACGACCTGTCTTCCCACACATACAGTGCTTAACAGCTGTGCAGTGTTCGTCTTGGAATGTGATCTCATTTATGCACCTGACGCGTCGTGGAGCCCTGGGGGGCTAGTCCACTGTGTGATGCACTAACTGAAATGCTGCACAGCTCTGGTGGTTCGAAACCACCGGTGGCTCCACGGGAGAAAGCTCGGCAGGAAACTCACAGCCTTGGAAACCGACAGACGGTCGCTGTGAGGCAGAACTGACTTGATGCCACTGAGTTTGAATTTTTTTTTAATATATCCTCTGGTGTTCAGCTGCCTAGAACAGAGCCAGGCACACAGCAGGCGCACAACAGCTCTGAGTCAATTCAGGCTATTTCCAATTATTTTGTTACTGCATAATATTAAACTTGAATGTAGTCAAACTATGTAGAGAGATACTTGTCCCCAGTAGTTCGGGTGCCCTAAAGGTTCAAGATTTCCTGGGGTGGTCCTGACCTCGGCACCAAGAACGGTGGTCATTGTCCTTATGGCCTTATCCTTCTTGGATTCAACACTGAGCCAATCACAGTAGCTATGGGAGAAACGGGACAGTCACTGATTCCCCCTGAAACTGCCCTACGTCCTGACACTCGGCTTAAAACTCCCACAGATCTGACTGAGTTCCACGTGAACGTTCCCAATCAGTTCACATTCTTGACTGCAGTGCTGCCTGGAGAAAAGACCGGCAACACAGAACACAGGTCGGAAGCAGAGCGGACGGAGGACAAGGAGGTCTGTCTGGGGCAAATCCTTACCATCTTCATGTCTCGTGAGTGAACCAGACTTGGTCTGTCTCCTAGGATGTCCCAGATTTTCACATACTTGTCTGCCGAGGCTGTCACAAGGCACCCTTTGATTTGACTGCTGAGATCAAGACCTGCAGGGATGGAAACACGAGCTCAAGTGGTCACTCAGAGAATCAGATCTACTTTATTATAAAGTAACCCACAGCCAGTAAGTGGACTCCAACTCACAATAACACTACAGGACAGAGCAGGATGCCCCCTAGGGCTCAAGGGCCTGGAGATTAGAACCTCCCACCTTGTGGTGTATGGCCCAGTGTTTATTCCACCGTGCCACCAGGAACCCTCGCTCAATATGAAGAAATAGATTCTTGCTCACCAGATATTTCATCATTGTGTGCATTCAGCGTAAAAATAGGCTTATCTGAACGAGCATCCAAATTATAAACAAAGCCGTCATCTGTACTGGCCTGGAAAGAGAAGAAGAAGGACTGAGATCACACTACCTGACTAGAAACCTTAGTCCCGGGTAAACAGTCTCAAACAAATACAAACAGGTGATCTAACTGCCTCGCCTCCGGTGCTTATTCAACATTAACAGAACATAAGGAATCGACTTTAAGAGTGTGCTGCCTTGGACTCCTTCAGCTCGCACGGGTATTGTGCTGTCGGTACGGAGCTTGTACTGAGTGGCATGGGTCAGTTAGGGACATTGCAGCATCGAGGTGGGAGTTGCATCCATGTGAGCAGAGGGGTCAGTCCTGAGTGGGTAGAATTCAAAGCGGAAGGATGAGGGCTGAGGCCGTGTGAACACCCTGGTGAGTCGGGGTTCAAGCTGAGGAGGAGCCCAGAGGAGAGGAAGGGAAGCCAAGGAAGCAGCTTTGGAAAGGAGTGCCAGTAGTGTTGAGGACGGCCGAGATTCCCTCAGAGCAGGACTGCAAGACAGGCCCCAGGCTGTTCTCCTTCCAGGCGGGAGAGAAAATGAAGGAAAAAACCAGCAAGGAGTTAAGGTGGGAAAAAGGAGGCTTGAGCCTGTCTTCAGGCCGAGGGCAGGAGTGGGTACAGAGAGAGGCAGAAAGAAAGGACAACTGAGGGCAGTCGTGAAGGAGACGCTGGGGCCCAGGCTCTGAGGCTGAAGGGAAGTGACTCATTCGGCTCACTTCTCTTTTCCCAAAGTATTTGTGCTTTTAGTACTAATGATGACTTGTTAGCAAAGAGGCTCAGGAAGTGTGGGCCTGGCTGCTGAGATCCTAAGCACAGCTTTCAAGCACCCCAGGACTTCACTCCTGGTGACCAGAGGATGGGGTCTGGCTGAGGGAGCCTGGCTGGGAACAGCAGGCTCCCCAACTGAGGACGCAGAGGGCTGGCGTGGGGGTTCGCAGAGTCACTCCTGCAGTAACCCGTCCACGGCGCTGAGGAAAGCGGCTTTAAAACAACAACAAAGCTCTTACTTCTCTACCAAGTAACACTGACTTCAGAAAAATGAAATAAATGGATGTGTCACACATCTGTCACTATTCCTTCCTTTGGGATGGAAGTTGGGGTGCTTTTTTTTCTCTCTTGGAATTGAGATTCCAATGGGATCTTTGAGCTGCTACATGGGAAAACTGTCGTCCATAAGGCCAAAGAACAATTCTAGAAAGACTTTCCTGAGTCAGTGCTATCACTGACAGAAACAGGCTACCATTCTCTTCATCAGAGCATCATCTTATAAGAAGTGAACTATCATCTGGATCTGCTTTAACTATTAAAAAAGACAGAACATGCTTCTTGTTGTTAGGTGCCGTCGAGTCATAGAGGACTCATAGTAACCCTATGAACAGAAGGCGTGAGCACTGTTCATAGAGTTTCCGGAGGCAAGCCATTTCGGAAGTGGATGCCACTTCTGCTTCCGAGCCTGTTTTAACCGGGAAGCTCCACCAAACACTGTCCACCATGGGTAACCATTATCGCATTTGGCACATCAGGATCACAGTGTTTAGCATCACCACAACCACAAACATGCTTAATATGGAAAAAAGAAAACCTAACTAATCAATGGTCGAAAACCTGACACCTAGCAGAATGTATGGAAATGCGCAGACTCGCTTTTCACATGTTCAGCATTGCTGTGGCTGATGGAGCACTTTCGTGTGGAGGACCTACTGTTCTCTTTTTAAACCTTAGTCATCATTCATCCTTTTTCACCCAACCCAAACCACAAACATGTCACATAGTTAATACAGAAAAGGATTTTGGGGACAGTCTCTCTCCAACGGAAGGAAGAAAACGCGTGGTCAGTAAACCAGAAGTCAAACCAGAAGCATGCACCCTCTTACCAAAAAGTGACAGGGCGAGAAGTGGTCCCACGTCACCCTCTCGATCTGCCCGCTGAAGCGCCACATCCGATGGCTCTCGTTTGGACTTCGGCAGTCGTACAAAGCCACCGACCTGGACAGAGTCAGGCAAAGTGGCAGCATTAGGAGCCCAAGCCTCCTGTAGTTTTAAGTTTTTTAAATGAAACTAAGAGTACTGAATATATGATAAACTGCTAAGAAAACAAACAGGTTCATCCTGGAGAGGGTTAAACCAGGCTGCTCCTTAGAGGCAAGGATTCTGGGGCTTCGTCTGACACACTTTGGACATGTTGTAAGGAGAGACAGGTCCTTGGAGAAGGACATCATGCTTGGGAGGGTGGAGGGACAGGGCAGGAGAGGAAGGCCCTCTATGAGGTGGATTGATTCAGTGACTGGGGTAATCGGGATGGGTGTGTTGAATTGACACAGGACAGGGCAGGGTTTAGGGCTGCTGTACACAGGGTTGCTCTGAGTCGCAGGCGACTTGATGGCACATAACAACAGCAACAATGCCATAAAACAGTATTATGAAGCTAGGATTTATGTATTTGTAAAGTCTGTCCTAAAGGCCTAAAATAAAGTAGAGTCAAATCTACGACATAAAAGATGAAACCTCTATTCAAAAAGTCTACAGAAATGTCTTCAATTCCTTTTCCCTGGTAGTGCCTACAGCCAATACATGTCTTAGACACTCTTACCCTCCAGAAGCAACACAGTGTTCTGGGAAAGTGGAAGGACACACTACTGTAATTTTGTAAAGGATGCTGCTAAGGGTAGGTGCTGCCTTAAGTCCCAGGGAGCCTTGTGCACAAGGTGCTTTCTTACTTATCATATGATCCTGAAATCAGCGTCTGTGCTTCGAACGGGTGGAACTGCAGCGTCTGGACCTAAAGGGAGGAAATAGAGAGGAAAAGGCTGTGCCTGTGAGGACTGAACATCACCTCATATCTGGTAAGGGCCAACGTGGCCGTGTTTCCACCTCCTGCCTTTTGAAACTCAGGACGATTTCAAGGAATGCAAATTTCTCCTTCATAAACAAAAGGAAAAGGCCTATTTCTAGATCAACGCTCGTACGTAAAGGACATTTCCTAGCCTGGGTTTGGCCCAACACTTAGAGGAGAACAGGGGCTGCCTGGGCTAAGAGGGCAAGGAGTGGTCACAGCACACGGAAGTCACCGCCTGTCCCAAAGGCCCATGACTCCCATCAGCACATGAAATCCCGGGGGGTGCTGCAGCCAGGGACTCTGCTGTCCTCCTCCCCCTCGTGTGGTAAAGAAAGCATGGCCTCTGAAAAATTTGTTAAAGACGCTAAAAAGGCCAGCATTTCACCTTTTCGTACTGCATTCTACAGTCCTAAGATGGAGATTATACAGGCAGTCCCCAGGTAATGAATGCTCAACACAGACATAAATCACAGTTACACACCAGCCCCTATGACTCTACTGTACCACAAACTCCTGGTTATAAAACGGCTTTATGGTAGCAACAGGGCTCCTTTGCAAAGTACATTAAAAATGTTATTATTACAAAGTACATAAAAATGTTATTAGGAAGCTCTGGTGGCCTAGTGGTAAGAAGCTGGGCTATAATCCCAAAGGCATGTGGTTTGACTCCACCAGGTGCTCTGCAGGAGAAAAATAGGTAATCTCCTCACATGTGATTAACTGATTCTGAAAACCTGCTCAACAGCTATGGGTCGGTTCCAACTAGATGGCACACACCACCACCATCACCATCACCATCACCACCACCACAACCACCACCTTGTCAAAGATGCTCTAGTCTAACTGGCAATGCTTAAGCACAGAAAGGTACACTACACACACTACATACGAAGACAAATATTGGACTAACCAGCATTAGATACAGACTGTACCTAACTGCTCCGCCTCAGGAACACATGGACTTAACGACTTCAGAATGGAGCTCTACTTGTTTAGCACTGCCTGTAGCATTACACAAGGCCGCATAAACATTCAATAAGCAACATGTGAGAGAAAAGCACTCTGTTTAAGCCAGAAAAATCCGTGCTTGGGGCACTTTTAGTCAACTGCCCCAGAGGTTTTAGAAGGCCTTCTCTCCTCTCACTCCCATACCTTGTCTGTGTGTACAGTCAGGCTGGCCGCTGGCTTCCCCAAGGACATGTCCCACAGAATGATAGTGTTGTCAGCTGATGCACTCGCCAGCACGTTTCTGAGGAAGGGCAGAAACATCGGGTAAACGTGTAAAAATCATGAGCCTCACATGTAAGAAATACATGCCATTTACAGTTTATCAGATAGAATACAGTATTTAGGAATACATTTTCAATAAACGAATCTTGAAAACCACAAAATAGTTTTGAGAGAAGCTAAAGAAGTCCTAAATGAGTGCAAAGATAGTTAATATTCATGAACTGAAAAACTTAATATTGCTTGTTAAAATGGAAATTCTGCCATTTAAAAAATGACCTACAAACTTATCAGCCAGTTTCTATCAAATATCCCCCAAACTGAAAAACTGATTCCCCAAGATTATTAAAAATAACCTTGAAAAAAGAACAACAAAGCTGGAAAACTCACAAGTCTCCATTTCAACATTCACTACAAAGCTCTAATCATTAAGACAGTATAGCATTAGCAAAAGGACACTAATTTAACCTATAAATCTGAGAACCTGGATCTTCTTTTTTTTTTT